TGGGGGTATTTTTACAGGAAGGAAGTTATGATGCCAAGTTTTAAAAAAAACAGGAATTGTTCTTTCTAAATTCTTGGCTTGGTGAAGCTTTCTTTTGTTACTTGGCTTCCTTATTTGTTGTTAATTAATTCTTGGATTTGATTAATTTATAATTCAAAACCATAGGACTTTTGGGTACATAGGCTCTTTTGAAGAGAAGAAGGGTCAATTTAAAAATTCGTAAACTTGAAACCTGCCTGCTACCCTTTTGGAACACAACAGAGTATAAAGTGTTCTGAAGTATTAATACTTGTTAGATGTATATGCATTAATGTAATAACCTAATGATGTTTCACTGAGGTTGCTGGATTTGGGGAATGGGATATTAAGTTGGGAAAACAAACTGTCTGAAAAGATTAGAGAGAACAATACCCTGAGCTCAAATAGGGTCAGAAATAATACATAGTCTGATCAGCAAGAGTGGAAAACCTTGTAATTCTTGGGGTGCTGAGTGGTGGACTCGGTGGGTTTGTTTGCTTCAGTAGAGGGGCAGAATTGGCCCCAGACTAACCGCTGTTCTGGCACTGTGTTACCAAAAGGGTCAAACTTTCCACATAGCTGAATCAAAAGAAAGGTCAAAATATTTGTAGGAATATCCAGAACCTAATATGTAAAAATCCAGTACCCAAGCAAGCATTCACTCAAAAATTACCAGGCAGGTAAAGAAGCAGGAAAATATGACTCATAATAAGAAAAAAAAAAAACAGTGAATAGAAACAGACCCAGAAACGACACAGAAAATAGAATTAGTGAACACAGACATTAGAACAATTACAACTTCAGGAGGCTAGAGAAAAGACCGAATATTTTAAGTAGAGACATGGAAGATGTAAAAAGTTCAAAATAGAATTTTCAGAAATTAAATCTACAGTGTCTGAGATTAACAGCAGAAGTATGGAAAATTTCTAAATTGGATGAAAACCGTTAATGTGTAAATCTGAGAAGCTCAACAAATCCTGAGCACAAGAAGTGTGAAGAAGATGACAAGGCACATTACAGTAAGATGTTTAAAATAATGAGAGAATCTGCAAAATGACCAGAAGGACAAAGGTAAAGGTGCCAGCAGTCGCCACTCCTTCTCACAGGGAACAGTGCAGGCCCGGTGGGAGTGGTGCAGTGTCTTGTACGCGCTCAGAGAAAAAACCTGTCAATAATAAGGGTGAGATAAAGACTTTCTCCAGATGTACAAAGGAGGAAAGAACTCATTCCCAGCAGACCTGTATTACTAGAGATAATATAAAACAAAGAAAAGTTACACCAATTGGAAATTCAGATCTATACAAAGACACTGAAGAACACCAGAATGGTAATTGTTTGGGAAGGTGTAAATTACTTTTATTGTTATTTAAATCTCTTTAACACATAATTAAGTGTTTAAAGGAGAATAATAATAGTGTATTGTGAGGTAAAGGTAATAAAGATAAAAAGGTGGAACCTAAGTAATAAGGTTCTTAAACTATACATGAATGGTACAATACCATTTGAATTAGACTGATGAGTGAAATGAATATTATAAACTCTAAAGCAAACATTAAAATAGCACAATACATATACAGTCACTAGTCAACAAAGAGATAAAATGGAATTGTAAAAGAAAATACAGCTAACCCAAAATTAGGTAGAAAAGGACAAGTAGGACAAAGAACAAATAGGATGGACACAGCAAGTTTCAAGGTGACTGAACTGTACCAGCAATCACATTAAATGTAAGTAATGTGGACACCTCAATTAAAAGACACACATTGAAGTGAGCACAGATGGGATTAAAAAGCAGGACCCTGCCAGAAATCTACTTTAAATGTAAAGACACAAATAGGTTAAAGGGATGGGCTAAAATATACCACTCTAACACTAATGAAAAAAAGTCAAAGTGGATATGTAAGTGTATCAGACAAAGTAGATTTCATGGCAAAGACTATTACCAGGAATAAAGAGGGTTATTTCATTCATCAAGAGAATATAACAGTCCTAAATATTCATGTACCTAATAGTAGCTTCAAAATTCTTGAATCAAAATGAAGGGAACTACAAAGATGTGTGGACATACTCATGTTTACCGTCAGAAATTTCAGCACCCCTCTCTCAGTAACTGACCGAGCAAGTGGCAGGAAATCAGCAGTGATCGTGTAGATGGCTTGAACAGCACTGGCGAACAACTTCCCCAATGGACATTTAGTGACCACTTCACCTCAGAACAACAAATACACATTCTTTTGAAATGAGAGTGGGTCATAGAACAGTCTCAAAACATTTAAAGGGATTCTGATGAGACACTGTATTGTTTTTGCTCACAGTGGCATTAAATTGGAAATCAGTAAAACAGATATCTAGGAAATCTCCAAATATGGGGAGACCATATACTTAAATCCTTGGTACAAATAAAAATAAAAATCAGTTTTAACTAAGTTAAAATCAAAATGAAGAAGTATTATAAACTGAATGAAAATTAAAACACTGTGACTAAGTTTGTGGGATGCTACTAGAGAAGTATGTAAGGACATCGTTAAGACTAAATGCTTTTACTAGGAAAGAAAGGTCTCAGTGCAATGACTTTAGCTTCTACTTAGAAACTAAAAGAAAAAGAGCAAATTAAACCATACTTATTCAGGGGATGGGAAATAATAAAACTAAGAATGAAAAGCAGTGAAATAAAAAATAGAAAACCAAAAAATAAATAAGCCAATAAAAACTCCAAACTGGTTTTCAGAAGGTCAAAGTGACCCATCTGGTTAGTAACCAGAAGACAAGTCACATCGGTGATGGGAGAGGTACTAGTGCTTCAGATCATGTGTAGATATTTAAAAGATAATGAAGAAATACTATAAACAGCTTTATACTTATAAACTCAGCACGTTAGAGGAAACTGAACTATTCCTTGAAAGGCACAAACTACCAAAACTCACTCAAGAAAAAAACATAACCTGAATAATACTACATCTATAAAGTAAATTTAATTTGTTGTAAGGACCTTCTCTCAAACGAAATTACAAGTCTAGACGGATTCATCAAACCAATCTTGCTGAAATTATATTAAACCAATCTTGCTGAAACTGTTCCAGAACATTGAAGAGAAAATTCTTTCCAACTCATTATATGAAACAGCACTACTCTGATGCCAAAACCCAACAAAACTCTAAGAAGAGAAAACTACAGTTCAATATCTTGCACGATCATAGATGTACAAATTCTTAATAAATTTTCAATAAATAAAATTCAGCAATATCAGGAAAGGGCAGTGCATCATCCTCAAGTGAGGTTTATTTCAGGGGTACAGTGTTGGTTTAACATGTGAAAATGAATGAATACAATTCTCCATATTAACAGACTAAAAGGGAAAAAATCATATGATATCAGTAGATGCAGAAAAAAAATCTGACAAAAATTCAACATCCATTCCTGATTTAAAACAAAATTTTTTTTTACAAGTAGAATAGTGGGAATCTTTGCTAACCTGATGACAAAAGGCAGCTAAAGTCAATTAAAGTAAGGTGTTTGATAATGTTCTAGCCATCTGTATCAATACTGATTTTCTTTCTACTTGCTCCAGCAGTTACTGAGAGAGGGGTGCTGAAACTTCTGACTATAATAAGTATTAATAGGTTCATTTCTCTGTGTAATTCTTTCAGTTTTTACTTCAATTTTGAAGCTGTTATTAGGTACATAAAACTTTGCAATAAACAGCTTATTACTTAATGATAAATGCTTTGTACCTAAGATCAGAAACAAGTTGAAGGTGCCCCTCGTAACACTGATGTCATTGTGCTTGTGGTCCTGGGCAGTGAGGTGAGGCCAGAAAAGAAAGAAGAGGCTTCCACCTCAGAAAGAAAGCAATCAAACTGTCTTTGTTAGCGAGTCACATGACCGTTTATGTAGAGAAGCCTATGGCATTTACCAAAGAACACCTAGATAAATGACTAGCATATTTCCAGGGCGTAACACAAATACACAAAAGGTATGATTGTGCTTCATAGGGAAAAATGTACATCATTGAAAAACCAGAAGAATGTGGTTCTCTATGGGTGATAGGCTCCTAAACTTTTTTCTCTTTTTTCCCTCATACCTGTTTTCTGACTTTTCTTCAAGTGTTTACTTTTGTGATAATGACAGCAGTAAAAATCATTTTTTCAGAAATGTAACTTTTCTGCCCCATTATATAATGTAAATGTAGTATAGTTGAATAATTTTAGACACATATCACTATTTTGACTTTCTACTTTTAAAATATTTAAGGCCTTCACTTAGATTCAGTTAGTGTTTTCTTGTTCTGGCCTACCATTTTCTTTGTCGTTGGCCACGGCCCCCTTCCTTGCCTGCCTTCCTTTGCCTCCTTAATGTAAGGAGGGCATTGTAAGAGCTTGTGATCCGATCCATTGTTGTTTTTTCCACTATGTACCAGGGACTGGGAAATGCAAAATTGAAAAAGCCTCCTCCTGAGGCTTGTCCTCCTGTCCACCCTCACCTCTTGTCAGTTTCTTTCTCGGCTTGCTGTGTGCCAGCCATTCAAGGGTTCTCTCAGTTACGGGGACCGACCTGGAAAGCTGTTTACCACCGTGGCTGGCACTCACAGGTGCTGTTTCCCCTTTGTCAGGGATACTTCCTCACCCCACCTCCACCTAGCTCCGGATTCTTTATTTAGTTCTTAGCGTAGATACTTCTCAGGGAAGCTTTCCTGGACCTGCCCAACAGGGTAAAGACTCTCATAGTACCTTCCCGAATTTATCATTGCTGTATTTAATACTTTTTGAGTAACCACTGGACTGAAATCTTGTTCCTGTCACTGGTGTGTTCTTCTGTGAGTTGTTCTGCAGAGCTGGGTTTCAGTATGTGTTGAGTTGTGAAGTCTCTTGGCTCATCTATGACAAACCAGCTTGGCCTCTGGGTGGATTAACAGTGCAATCTGTGCCCAGGGGTTAGATGGAGCAGATCTCATTGTTAACACAATGAATTTCTTGGAATTTCAGGTAACACAGGAAGAAGGACAGCAGTTAGCACGGCAACTGAAGGTGACTTACATGGAGGCCTCAGCGAAGATTAGGATGAATGTAGACCAGGCTTTCCATGAACTTGTCCGGGTTATACGGTAAGCAAAACACAGTCTAGAAATATGTTTTATTGAATTTTACGCCATGGTTTTAAAAACCATAAACTGAAAAAAAAAAGGACTTACTAAATGTGTTTAGTAAGAAAGAACATTATGTATAGGAGTGATTCTGTTCTAGGGGTTAATGCACAAGGTGTGTGAAAAATTTTAATTAAGTACATATTATATTCTAGGTACTTTCTCCATGTAAAACCTAATTTAATCGTAGTGAAGTAGACAGTACACATAGTGATTCTGAAAAGAATCTCCGCAACTTCCAAAGTCAGTGGTGGCATGAAGACAGCGACAACAGCAGCAGCTGCGTTTGAGTGGTAGTTTCTGCCAGATACTGAGCTAAGTGCTTCACATCTAATCCTTGCCTCAACCCAGTAAACTGAATACTTTCATTTATCCCTACTCTCAGATGTAGAAACAGGTACAGAGAGGTTAAATAACTTGTTCAAAACGTATACATACTGAGTGGCAGAACTGGGACTTGATTCCATATCTCTGATTCCACAGCCTGTGCTCTTAGCTTTGCTTCTTCCTGGGCTCCTCCCAGCAATGAGTAAGCTAAGTAAATAGTAGAGATTCAGCATTGCCACAGGCCATGAAGTGTACCATTCAGACTACAAAGAGTCTTTCTGTTAGCTGGCCTGGCAGGCCCCCGTGGCTCAGAAAGTGTTAATGAGTTCTAGGAAGCTTGAGGTGATGGGTGAGGTCACTGGAATTACTGTATATGCTTGCCTGTGAGAAAGATTGAGTTGCGTAGTGGGCAGGGTTTGATTTGATTATTTTGAGTTCGTGCCCGCCCCTACTTCACCCACTGCCTGCCCCTACTTCACCCCCTGCTCTTTAGATCCACTGGTTTCTCTGCCAATTAGTTTGACAGGCATGTGGAGTGGGCTCATGTCAGTTACGTGTAAGCTGAATTGACATCTGAACTATGGGCTTCTTGTAACTTTTAGCCTCTTACCAGAGCATTCTCTTTACGGGGTGTGGGGGTGTGTGAGACAAGAGATTATATTTTGGTTTATTTATTTTTTTTTAGCACTAGTTAAAAATCTGAGATCTGTTATTTTTTAATGAATACAGAGTCTGAATTTTGCGAGATGGGAGATTCTGCAGATAGATGGTGGTGATAGTTGTATAAAGTTGTGAATATATTTAAATGCCACTGAACTGTAGCCTTAAAAATGGTTAAGATGGCAAATTTTATGTTACACATATTTTAACACACAGAGATGAATTAGTCCTTCTTAAAGTAATTTCCACTGCCATTTTGAAATGTTTTGTCTGGTTTTGATCCTCAGTATCTATACCCGTCAGTCAGTCAGGATTGAGGAGGCAGTAAAGGAGGTTTTTAATGCCAGGTACTGTTAGGCATTCAGACATAGCAAGATCTTCTTTATTCCTCATAGCAACTGTAAAAAGTGGGTTTTTATTGTTCCCTTATAAACATCAAGGTTCAGAGAGGTCAGCCAACTTGTCTAATATTGATTTATAGATAGTGAGTAGTAGGACATGGGTAAGAACCGGAATACTTGACAAGGGTAATTTTATATTGTACCCTAGTTAAGGATGTTTATTTCTCAAGTATATCTTAGAGCAGCAATTTTCAGCCAATGTGCTGCAAGAATTTTTAAAACATGCAGTAGTCAGGTACTAAATAGTCAGCTACTGACCAAAAAGGGGCATTTGTGGGTGCCCCCTCTGCCCCCAGATTTGCTTTGATTCCCTGGTTGACTATTTAGTCAGGTGCACTGAGCTGTTTTCCCTTTGATTGTCAAATGAAAAAAAAAGGACAGCAGCCAATACAACAATAGCTGTCGGTGTGAATGCATCAAAATTGCACCCTCTTTTGGGGTCAGATCTACAAAAAATACATTTCTTTGGCATGCTTTAGAATTTTAATAATTAGTCCATGTGTGCCATGAAATGAAAAGGTTGAAAATCGTTGCCTCAGAGTCATGGAATTTTAAATTATGGGGGGGAATTTAGAGGTAGTGAGTTCAGCATCTTATCTGATTTAAGACTCACCGCTAATGAAACTTGGACAGCCTCCTTAGGCTGGTGTGGAAGCATTTGTGGGTGCCTCCTCTGCCCCCAGATTTGCTTTGATTCCCTGGTTGAAATTTAACATTGAAAAGCATGTGCCCACACACTAGACTGAGCCCAAAACAACCTGCATTTGTAATGTATTACCAAGAAGGCGACTATATGTAGATGTTTCTGTCTTACAGGAAATTTCAGGAGCAGGAGTGTCCTCCTTCACCGGAACCAACACGGAAAGAAAAAGACAAGAAAGGCTGCCATTGTGTCATTTTCTAAGAATCCCTTGAGTTTTAGCTACCAACTGCCAGGAAGAGCCCTCATCTTCTCTCCTCGTGGTTTACGTCCCATTGGCACCTTTCTAGCCTTAGCCAGATGATCACTGTGGTAGCCTTAGACCAAGCAGCTGGCTAGTCCTTTCCGTGAAGCTAATCCTATGGTCATTTCAGGACAGATTTAAGGAAACACTAAGGCTGCTTCAAAGATTATTGGATTATTTTAAAACATACATCTGTACACACAGACACATTCTTTTTGAAGGGCTTACATTTTAACAAGGATGAATCAGATTTGGAACGTAAGCTGTTTGCCAAGCTGAAGTCATAGGTTTTGAAATAACTTGTAACTTCTGGAATCATATTCCCTACTGTTACTCTAAATAGAAACAGGGAGGTTTTTCTTTTAATGTGAATTGCTGCCTATCTAAAACTTTTGACGTCACCTTCAGTTACCTTAAGTACACTGAACTGACTCCTCAGGAGTGAGACATCTCAGATCTTCACAGCCTTTGTTTTCTAGTGGCCAAAATACCAAAATGCCAATGTATTTATGAATTGAAAGCTACTTTAAAAGCCTTTATTATTACGCCTACTCTCAAAGATGAAAATATTCTGTGTGGCCAATACTCGGACTCATTCTGGACGCAGGCATTTCAGTGTTCTGGATTTTCTAATTTAAGTCTTTTGACAACCTTGTTGAGAGTAAAAATAAAGAGTTTATGTCTGTCTTCCTTTGTAAGTATTTCTGGATAAAGGATTCATAAAAACTAAAACTGTTTTTGTTTGTAATATAAAATATGGAGTTGATCTTTCCAGAGTCAGAGATGATTAATGTTTTTGCAATATACTTTTATACATTATTTTCTTATCAAACTAGTTAACAAGTATTTTTATATGTTTGTAAGCAACTATGCTTTCACAGCATACCTTGTGTATATGTAAAGATAAGTATTTAATTCTCACTGTTCACTTTTAACTGACAAAGGAAAACCGTGAAAACTACAGAAACTGTGGTAGAACTGTACTCACTGTTCTGGTCCTGGTTGTATATGCCTTTGGCCAGTCACATAGCTCCTCGAGACACCTCCCCAGCAGAGTACAGCAGGATGAGGAGCTGAAATCACTTCCGACATCCCTGCTAGAGACTGACTGTTGTATCAAATAGTGCGTGTAAAACTTTAAATTGACAATTAGTGTGACTGTGGATGGCTTCTGATTTTGTTTTTAATTCTGTGGATTGTGTTTAAACAATTCAAAAGTATGTTCCTGATTTGGAGATGCTAAGTGGTATTGCACAGTTGTCACTTTATTAAACGTGTACAACAGTCCCATGAGGTTTATAAAGCATACCCTTGTGTAGCTTCAGGTGCTAGAATTAAAATCGCTGTGTTATCACAAGATGCTGCCTGATGACTTGTTCTTTTGGTGGTTTCTTCAAGGAGTAACTTGGAGGAAACTTACTTTAGTAGCTCTGAGCCTTTTCCCAACAATGCCTTTAGGGTGGAATCTCAAGTTACTGTCGGTCATTCAGTAGGTGAACTTGAAGTGAAATGGCTTGTTCTTTGTGACTTCTTGAATATTTCCTTAAGTCGGTGTATTCTTAAACTTTTTCTATGAAGTGCTCCTGACAAGAGCCCCAATTGTAGAGAGAGGAATTCATGTGAGGATGAAACCTAAAACAGCTGAAGCAAAGCAGACAAATTTATTTGAATGATAACTACAATTATTGCCCAGTAAGATACCACATTTGTCCTGTGGCTTTTGATACTGTAGACTATCCTATATCCTTGTCAGTGCTTTCAGTTGGGGAAGTTTTTTTGTTTATCACGGGTAACTTCAGATAGCAAGAAACTGTCTACATAATGTCCAAATTTAATGGGAAAACTTTCATTTTATTCTGAATAAGTGATTTGTAGCAAAGCAGCCTGAAAGTTAAATTTTGTTATCTCACTTTGCTCCCCCCCCGCCCTGCTTCATTTGGGATAAGTTTTATTGCTGTATCTTGAAGTTCCCTAACCTTTACTTTTTAATCTGCCAGTAATCCCATCCAATGAAATTTTCATTTTATACTTTATTTCCTTCTTTAGAAGTTCTGTTTGGTTCTTTTAAGTATCTTCTATTTCTGTCTTCATTACATTCATGTATTTACCCAGCCTCTCTCAATTGGGTGTCCAGAGAATTGAGTCTTAATACCTTACCTGTTGCGTGTAATAAATTAACTTCTCTTCTGTGTGCTGAGAATGGTACTAGCTGTGTACCTTCCTTGGGAGATTTGAAAACAGCCTAAGATAACTTTCTATAGGGCTTAATTCTCTTGTTGCTTTGAATATTTGGACATGGTTATAAATAACTATTATGTTATTTTTTGCTGATATCATCTCTTTAACTTTTGGATCTGTTCTGTTGACTGATTCTTCTTTAGTTATGGTTCACATTTTCTTGCTTTTTTGCATGTCTACTAAGTTTTGATTGAATGCTGGACATTGTGTATTTTATGTTGGGTTCCTAGATTTTGTCGTATTAATCTAAAGATTCCTGGGCTTTGTCCTGGCAGTTGGTTAATTTATTTGCAATTCAGTTTGATCCTTTTAAAGCTTGCTTTTAAGCTTCACATGGTCTCAAGTAGTTTTTCCTAGGGTAGTTCAGCTCCACAACAGGTGTGGCCCATTTGGGGACTCTACCGAATACCTTGAGTAATCAGTGAGGACTTTACAATTTAGCTAGTGGGAACTGAAACAATTTGCAGCCCCGAGAGAGCTCTGCGGGCCATTCTGTTCACAGCTCCTGGGTCATTCTTTGCCCAGCTAACTGGAGTTTCACTCTGTACATGCGTATCTTGATATTCAGCAAAGACTTACGGACCCTGTGCACATTTTTGGAGCTCTTTTCCTGTGTAGCTCTCTCCTTTCTTGAACTTTGTCCTGCAGTTTCACCTGCCTCAGACTCCCTGATCTCCAGTGTCTGTCTTCAGCTCGGGGACACATTTGTGCCCTGCCTAGAATTCCTCGTCCCATCTGCGGCCTGGAGTGTTCCTCTGGGCAGAAAGCCGGGGCAGTTTTAAGGCCTGCCTTGCTTGTTTCTCTTCCAGCAGGGATTGTAGTCCTCTGCTGCTGGGTGTATGTCTGGAAACAGTTGTTTCTCACATTTACTCCAGTTTTCTGATTGTCTCAGGTAGGAGGGTAAGCCTGCTTCCTGTTCTCTGGGGTTGAAAGCTGAAGTCTGTCCTATTTGATTTACATCAACAGTCAGAGGTGCCTTGTAGCCCTCTTAATCTATGACTTGAAATCTTTTCTCTATAGCTGGGGGGTTAGCAGACTCTTTTTGTGAAGGGCTAGGTAGTACATATCATTGTGGGCACTGGGGGCCAGATAGTCTCCGCACCGTTGCAGCACTGAAGCAGCCATCAGCAGTGTACAACTGAATGGATGAACATGGCTGTGTTCCAATAAAACTTTTTTTGTGGACACTGAAATTTGTAATTCAATCATTTCCATATGTCATGAAATATTAATCTTTGTGAGTTTTTAAAAATTCTTTTAAGATTGTAAAAACCATTCTATACAAAAACAGATGGCAGACTGGATTCGATCTGTGGGCCACGGTTTGCCAATCTTGCTCTTTAGCACATTTAGCATTTAAGGTTGCATTTCTAACTTTAGAATCTCTTATGTTTCTGTTGCTGTATGTATTTGGAAATTCTTTCAAACAGGATTTCCTGAATTGACAGTCATGAATTTTCTCCCTACATTGTTTAAGGATTTATAATGTTGTAGAGTTGGATACTTATGTCTTATTGACCTACATCTTTAGAGAATTGATGATTCTCGACATTTGAGGCTTTTGAGTTTTATAATATAAATTGGTTCCTTACTTTATCATTTGACTCTTAAAATTCGATGTCACTAGGTTGTGTATACTTCAGGTCTGTCCTGATCCTTTTTCAACTTTTCATTGCCACTCACTCTAATCTGTTTCTTTCTCCATTCCTTTACATAACGATCCCATTGAGCAGACAACTGGCAGGTAAATATGAGGAGGTGATGATAACATGGTCACTTTAAGTATCACTTGACCACTTAGGAATATGTAACCAGTGACTGCCTATAAAATTTCAGAGTACTTTTTAGAGAAAAGGTATTTTTAATTTAAACAGATTTATTTATACAAGACTTTACTAGGAATACTGGGGAAATGGATGCATTGGAGCTTTTTCTTCCTATGAATTACTCAGTATCTAGTGGAGGAAGGTTAAGAGTGACAAAAACAAATGCCAGGGCTGCAGAGTTAAGGCAGTATGAGAAGCATGTAAGAAGTTGTCAGGTTCAGAAGAAGAGGTATGTTCCTCCTGGGAAATCTGGTGAAGTTAGAAGTGGTGTTTTGGTTGCAGTTTCATGGATTGGTAGGATTTGGGGTGGGGAAGAGAGGAGGTGGAAAGCCTGGGCAAAGGCACCAAGTTGGCAGAATGCAAGGTGTGTTCTGGGATTGGAACCTTAACCTAAAAGGATTTTAAGTATAATAGGAAAAAAAAATAAAGTAGACTCAGCTTGGCCTGTGGAAGGCTTTATATAGGTTGGTCCTTCTGTCTGTAATGGAAAACTCCAAGGATTCAGAACAGGGGTGCCTCGACTGAATCTAGTGGGGGTGGGAACAGCAGGGAAGCGTGGATCTAACGCAGGGCAATCAGGTAAGAGGTTATTGGAATCATGGAATCTGTCCTCTTTCCATTTCTTCTGCCACTTTTGTCTAAGCCTCTTATCTCACACCCAGGTTACTACAATGGCCTCTGAAGTAGTCTATTTATTTCCATTTTGCCCGCACAAAACTGTCATTTTAGTGGGGCCAAAGGGATACTTTTTAGACTGTAAATTAAATGTTACACTGCTGCTTAAAATCTGCTATCATCTCAGTGCACTTGGACGAGTATCTAAATTTCTTACCATAGTGTACAAGGAACTGTCATATTCTTGCTGCTTATGTTCAAGTTGATATGCCTTGTTACGCTCTGGAACACACTGTATTTTCCAAATCAGCCCCTTCACTCACTATTCCAATGAGCTGTCGTATCCTTTTGCTCTTGGCTTAGATGCCACATCCTCCAAGAGGCCTCTTGATTACTTACTGTAGTATCACACTGCCCTGTATTTACTTAATGACACTTACCGTCCGTGACAATTTGTGTGTCTTGCCTGACCTGCCACCTTAGTGTCATAAGCTCTGTGAGGACACAGCCACGTCTGCTGAGTTTACTGCTGTGCCTGTGTTTCACGGCACGCACAGAAAAACCACTTGATGAATGAAGAAGGAGCACAGGCAACCCTCTAGGGACTGAAATGTGTGGTGATTGTGCCGGTTACACACGGGGTTAGTCCAGGAGGCGTTTGGGAATGGGGTGTGCAACTCAAGTGGCTAGGGTTAGAAGTGCAGATTGGATCCATCTATTTTAAGAAAATTATTTAAGAGGTAGGAGTAGAAAGAGTGTTTGAGGGAAGGTCCAAAGGGTAGAAATTTTGAGGAAAAGGAAGTATGGGGGTTGAAGATTAAGAGGCGGCAGAAAGCCAAGAGAAACACCCAGAACCTGGAGAAACAACCAGGAGACTCTGTCAAGGATGTCGAGGGCGGTGAAAAGCCATGCCAGGACCAGGGAGTGTGGAGCAGCAGTGATCACTCCGAGGTGGCTGCTGACTCTGAGAGGTTTGTGCCTGTCATCTGGTCGTGGGAACCAGGTTGTAGTAGGTTGAGGTGTGATTGGAGGGAAAGGAAGTAGAGGAAGTCAGTGTGAGCCACTCTTATGAGAAACTCGGTGGCAAAATCAGAGGGCAAAGGGGACAATTATCTTGCCCGATAGGGTAAGATGTTAGAGGAGTGAGAAAGAGCCAGTGCTGGGTACTTGTTTGTAGGCATGTAGGAGTACCAGCCTGGAGGTGGATACTGCTGTGTGGGCACTTCAGCACTAGAGAGATGTGAAAGCCTGGGGTTTGCACGCTGGCGTCCCCTCCTGCCTGGCCAGTGGGAGTGGCCTAGTGCAGCCCTCCCCTGCCTGCCTGCGGTGAAGAGCCAATTTTTAAAATGTTTCATCTTTACTCTCGCGGACTGCTACTTCTGCTAAATGTAGTAAAAATGAACCACTAGAAAAATAGTCGTACTCTTGGGTATCGTGCAGTGTCAAATCGTTATAAAACTTTCCGAGTGTTTGCTTTCAGCTCCTGCATCTCACTGTAGGATGGTAATGAACGTGGACATTCTGGGGCGGCAGGTCCTGCTTTGAGCAGTGCTGATGTAGCAGGTGAGGCAGCAGGAGGTGGGCCTCGGACTTTCCCGATAGGCCGGTAAATTCCAGGTTAAGGAAAAAATAGATACTACTTTATACACTCCAGCTATTGTCAAGGAGTCAGTGGTCTTGAATATGATGTTTGCCCTCTTCCCGTCTGCTAATATTTAAGATTATTTGAAGTAAAAAAGAGCTCTTTAAACATATAACTGCTTGAAATATGAGATTACCCAGTCAGCTCTAAAGCCAGGAAATAGTTAAGAACATAATCTGTTTTATGGGGAATTTAGAGCAATATGAGAAAATGTTAATGAATGCTAGTTTATGTTATGACATTAAGAATTTTAAGTGGAAGGTCTGAAATTGCATTTTCGCTGATGATATCTAGGTAAAGGATTGCATGTGTATTTCATTTATCAGGACATTTTCAGTTATAAGTGACAGACACGCAACTGGAGCCAGCTTCAACAGGAAGTGGGCATTACTGCTTTATAAAGAAGTGAGGGACTGGTAGGGTAAGACTGGCTTTCGGTGACTCCTGTGTCAGGATGCCATCAGCTTGTGCTCTCAAGATGAGAGTTGGCTAAATTGTGCAGGTGGAATAAAGGAATCCCGGGTGTAAGAAAGCTTGTGTGGAAGCCTGAGGGCTGGCTGGATACTCAGTCGGTTAGAGCATCAACCTGATATACCAAGGTTGCAGCTTCGATCTTTGGTTAAGGCACATGCAAGAATGAACCAATAAATGCATAAATAAGTGGAACAAAAAAGTCAGTCTCTCTCTTTCTCTCTCTGACCCCTGCCCCTCGCCTTAAAAAAAAAAAAAAAAAAAGCCTGAGGCCAGAAAAAGTAAAATAACTAACTGGTCCCTGCTCTGACAGCTTTTCAGGGGCAGAACAGTGTTTGTACCTAGGTTCCCCTTGCTTAACTGTTACACAGCTTCTACCTCTCGGCCCTTCAGAGGATATTAAAACCTTCCACCTGGGCTGGTGCAGCTCAGTGGATTGAGTGCTGGCCTGTGAACCTAAAGGTCAGTGGTTAGATTCCCAGTCAGGGCACATGCTTGGGTTGTGGGCCAGGTCCCCAGTTGGGAGCATGTAAGAAGCAACCAATTGATGTATCTCTTGCACATTGATGTTTCTCTCCCTCTCTCTTTCCCTTCCTCTCTCTAAAAATAAATATTAAAAACCCACAACCTTCTGAACTGACAGTGTCCAAAGCAAGGATGTCATTATTTAAATTTGACATTTTAGTAGAGATCTTTGGCTCATAGACTTCACTCTCATTAGCATTCAGGTGCTATTTATAGTTTGTCAGAGCATCTCATTCATTTTCAAAGGGAACTGTTTTCATTCATTTTTGACTTTGGGTAATACGAAGAACAAAACGAATCATTCTGCTATTAATATTAGTGGTACCAAAGAACTGAATAGTGGAATGTCTGTGTCTTCCTTGATTCTGTGTTGTAATTAGGGATTAAACATGTATGTTTTGTCTTCTTTGGACAGTAGCATCCGCTCCTTTAAGGTACAAATATTTAACTCTGTTTGAGGAAAAAAGCTACTGAGCATACAGTCCTGGTACACTTTAGTATCGAACCCCTTTAAACCTGCCTGGGAAATGTGGGCTGTTTGTCAGGTCACAGGGGTGATTTGACATGGAGAACTTCTGTGTGTTGACGTGTTAGCCACGGACTTGACCTGAACTAAGTTTCATGTGAGAATGTGTAATGTACCCTCACTTCCTGGAAGAAGTACACAGACTTTGAGTATGCTTAGAATATCTTTAGTACACAAAGTTCAAATTAAAAAGAAAACAGAATCTTCAATTGTTTTAAATTTTGGGCCCAAAGAAGCCCAGGCTTTATTCTCACTTGCTACAACAGTTTTCCTTCAAATAATGCACTGGCCAGGGGACAGGTGAGTGACCCAGTGTCTGAATGTGGATGTCAAGTGGATTACAACTGGTTTGGCATTGATAAAAATATGTGTGCAACAATTATAGCTGTTCTTTATGTGGCAATTTTCAATGGGCGTCTTATGATCTGTTTACTATCTCAAGTGCAAGTCCAAACAAATTTCATTTTTGTAGTAAAAAGTCTTTATTTCCAAAATGACTAGTTAGCCAGAAAAACTATAAATCACCTAACACAGGACTTTGGTAAAAAAGAGATTTGACGTTTGTTATAAACTTCCTCCCCTCGTAAGCAAAAGAGGTAACACTTATGTAATAAGAAAGACGTTCCCCATGCTCAGCCGCTAGCCAGTTACCTGGTTTTAACTCTCCAGAATTAGGATTAAAAATGCACCCAATAGGGACCAAAAAAAAAAAACACGAGACGGGGGTGGGTGCGGGAGCTTGTGCTTGGAGTTACTTAGGAACCACCGTCTTAATTAAGGAACTTGGATTTTCATGGGTTGATAGTCTGCCTCTTGATAGTTAAGAGGAATGTTGCGGAAGTGGGCAGATTCTGTATTGACTCCTTATTTCTTTACATCATGTTCCTTTGTGGGGGGAGAAAGCAGTTCATTTAAGGGCTACAACAACGACGTCGGAAACACGGCTCTGGAAACTTGGAGGTGTGGTAGCAATGGCCCTTCCAGAATGAGGGAGCAAAAACCGTGTCTTTAGCTGAATGTGATTGAGGTGGATAACAGCTGTAAACAGACCCAGCCTTCTGAACTCTTAATTAGTGTAAAAACACAAAGGACAGACCCAAATGAGGTTTTTATTGAACAGTCTCTCTCGTGTTAGAGAAAATAATACAGATTCAGGGCTATAGCGTGTATATATATATATATATGTTTGGGAGTATCCTGATGTGTTTAATGCAAGTTCTTAAAATAGTGTATTCAAAGCATTGTATGCATCTTATCCACGATACACATTTGGATTAAGCATAATGAAAAAGACCTGCAACAGAAATGAAACACTAATTTTAACAATAAATGAACGAGTAAAAACTGCCGATGAACTCAACTCAGTCGAGTGTCCTTTTACACTAATCCTTGGTAGTCAGTCTCCCTGCATTCAGTGTGCGAGTGAGTGCTGGGGAGAGGCCGGAAACCGGCCTTTCCTCGGGCGCGCTGAGGACCAGAGCCCTCGGTGCAGAGCTGGCCTAGGTTCGACTTCCCACCAGGTTTTCTTGCCCAGCTTGGTTGTGTCGTACTCTTTTCTCTAGATTTCTACCTTTCTTCCAAAGGGCTTTCCAACACCTTTCCACAGAAGAAAGCAAAGCTCTTTCTACATATAAAATTTCATGACTAAAAAAAAACACCTTTAAAGTACAGAGAGAGTATTTTTGTTCAAGGAATGTCTTGGTGGGCTGTGGGGAGGCTCAGCAAAATGTTTGCATACGTTTTTTAAAAAAATGTTAGAACTGGTTTGAAAATGTAAAAGTCTAATGTGTGTTGGAAGATTTTAAAAACTCAGGTTTGGGACTGCTAGCGAGGACTACGGTCTCCTAAGGATCTAGTATTGGAAACTTCACTAGGCTGGCTTCCTAGGAAGATTGTGGCAAAAAATACAATACCCGCCCCCCCCCCCAACAAGGGAAAAATTCTAGACTTAGTCACCCTTTGTATCAGGTGTAAGAACTGGCAACCTTACATTCAAATAAAGCAGCCATCACTTCCTTTGGGGTGTCGGGAAGCAGTACCAGGAGGTGAGATGAACGTGCTCAGACTTTCTCAGCGAGAGAAGCAAGCCACCCCGCACCAGTGCTCCTCTTCACGTCTGCCAGCTGTTTTTACCAGCTCTGTCTTCCCAAGATCTGCTGATGACTGAAGAGACTCAACAAGAGACCTAAGCTCCACTAAGTGAGAAAAGATGAGAATGAGGGCATCTGCTCTCTCTGTGTGAGGGGGCGTGTTTCCTGCTGTGCCCCGGGAATGGGGCGTGGAGTCGCTTCCAGACACAGTTGTCCCGCATGGAGACCAGGGTCTCTGTCCGGCACCCCAGTGGGTGCTCCCGAGGGACCCGTTTCCGTTTGGTACAGGGTGGCTGACACTCCCCGCGCCTGTGCTCGAGCGGTGCTGGCTGAAGATGAGGGAGCCCGACTGGGCCTGTGCCTCCCGAGAAGTGTACAGAAAGGACGTCCCTGGCGTCCACAAGACTACTGGGCAAATGACACTGCAGAAATGAAAACTAGTGCACACGATTTACATTGCCTTAAACAAACAAGCAAACGAACGACCCGGCCACTGGTGACTCTGGAGTCTGGAGCGCAGCCCTGGACGCTCGGACCCTCGCTAACAAGGGTGAACGTTGCAGGCCCTGATCTCCTTCTTGTCTTTGCAGCTGGTGAACTGGGAGCTTTTGAACCTCTTCTTTACAGTCATGTAGCGTTCCTGAATCCCGCCTCCGCACAGCTTGGTGCACTCTGACCAGGTGGTCCACGGGCGCATCCTACAGCCTGAAAGCGTGAGAAGGTTAGGCTGGCAGAAACTGGGCACAGGACAGGGGTGCTGAACTCAAGTACTTCACAACTGTCAAATCTGTGTGTCTGGGCTTCTTCACTGCCTTCGTGTGTAGTGAGTTGTTGAATTAAATAATGCTTGGAGCCCTTATTAATGACTGTTAGTTCATAGGGGATAGACTGCAAATACTTTGCAGCTCCCCCCAGCAAGGGGCAGTCTGCTCTACCTCTTCAGTCTGGGCTTGATCATATGATTTGATTTGGCCAATGGGACATGAGCAAACATGGCTTGAGAAAGCCACTGGGGACCCTTCCACCACCACATAAGAAAGCCTGACTAGACTGTTGGAAAGATCACATGGAGGAGAGGCCTCAGCCACCCTAGCTGAGACCCCAGAAATACAGGTGAGACCGGAATAGACCTCCTGGCCTGGGTTGAGCTGGCTGCTGACAGTTACCACATGAATGAGCCTAAGCTGGACCCAGGAGACGCATCCAGCTGAGCTAGCCCACGTCGACTGAACCACAGCATCGTGTTAACACATGACTTGTCAATAGCTACTGTTGTAGGGTGGCCTGGTAATGCAGCAACCACTCAAGTTGCAGCTAACCACTTCTCTGTCTTAATGCTTTGCTGCCCAAATAGCCACCCAAATACTAAGTAGTCTCAAGTCTAATTTTTCCTACCTACGTGTGCCCTTCCCAAAGAAAACTTCTCTGACCTCCAGATATTAGTTTAGATCTTTAAAAAGGGTCTCCTTGACACTCTGTGTATGACCCCTTTGTAGAACCTGTGTATGGCCATTCACCACGACGCCAGGTTTCATGGGGGTGACCACCATGCTGTAGTGATGGCCTGGGATGTGGTTGGGCTTAAACGAATGTGGACTGGCCGACTGACTGCTGTGTACAACAGACAATGTTCTGACATGCGAACGGCTTCCTGTCAGAGAGACTGAACTGTTGGGTAGCTCCCTGTGTGCATTCCTCATGGCCCTGGGTGGAATGCCTTAAGGAGCAGAGAAGAAAAGGGGTGATTTGAGCTGTGCTTTTAAAAAGGTCAAACTCAACACATCCTTAACTTTCACGTTTAGGTGGGCAGCTCCCTCCCCCACTGTAGGGAATCTAAAGACCATCCATCCACCGGCCTGCACCCCAGACTGACTGTGGGTCTTCCCAACTCACTGTTTCATGGATTTGCTGGGGGTTTGGCAGTCTTGGCTTGGAGCAGCTTATTCAGCAGCAAAGCCCCAGGCAAGGAGTTTTTTTAAATCCTGAAACTCAAGCTACGTTGGAGGAGAGGGGCACGTGATCTCTTTCCTGCGCTACAAACTGTGTTTGATAATTTGTCTCTATGCCTCTGTTTTGCCACCTCCAAACCACTCGATCTGTCTGTGAAATTCACTCTCCTGCTTAAAGCCTTCACCTGTAGAGCCAAGTCTCAAATCCTCGGCAGGCCACTAGACCTGTCCTGGCCACCACTCCCTCCTGGTTTCCGGCCTGTCCTCCTGCACACGGCTCTGTCTGCACCCCTTTCTTGCTCGAATGTACCATGTTCTCTGGCATCTCTGTGCCTTTGCAAGTACTCATTCATAGAGAAGGGATGCCCTTCTCCAACTGGCCAGCTCCTACCAGTTCTCCAAGACCCACTCTAATCCCCTGCTTTCACGTCTCCCTGAGCACCAGCCTCACACTTGGGGGCAGTACCTGGGAAATGCTCCCCATCAGACTCTTCCCTCAGCTGCTCACTCCTCCGGCTCTCGCGGGCCTCTCTCCAGCGCAGCTTCTGGATGGATGGGTTTCGGCATTTCCGGACACGGCACTTTTTTCGCTGCACAGTCTCTGGGCAGGGTGCGCCTCCGAACTGAGGCTCCATTTGGATCATCCGGGTTCGAATCACATGGCCTTTCCCACACGACTTGTTACATTCGGACCACTGGGACCACTCGGTGAGCTCACAGTCAATGGCTGGCAAGACACAGATGGGCATGAGTGTATCTCATGTCTGAAACAAGATACGGTCACTTACACTCTCCTTTGAACATCGCAACATGAGCCTGTGAGAAATGCAAAGCAGGCGCTGTTATCTCACTTCACAGAAGAAATCAAGACTCCAAGAGGCAGGCTGACTTCATCTGGCCCACGTGGGTGGTAGGCAGTAGAGGCAGGATTGGTGCCCAGGTTATAACCCACATTCTCTGGCCTTTCTGTGACTCAAGAAGGCTTTGCAGGGGGTGGGCGGGGCTTTGCAGATGTGCTCAGAGCTTCTTGCCTTGCTTTGTGAGTTTCTGGACTAGATCTGAATCTGGGCAAGCAGCCTGGGTAGTAAGGGAGAGGAAGCATGAAACACTGCTAAGTGTGTTTCAGAGGAAGCCAGAAAACAGATCATAGTGAGGGTGTCTGACGTTCCAACACCTAAAAGAGAGGCTCTCTTGGGAGACTAGCCAGAAAAATGGGCTCTCTCCCCTTTGGAGATTAGTCCCCCTGTAATACATACAGCTGATCACAGATTTGGGAGGAGATGGGGGTGAGCAGTGAGCTTTTGAGAGCTTGGCTTGTTTTCCTGCTGGCTGGTCTTAATCACAGTGGCAAGGGTACCAGAGTTACTGATTCAATGTCCACTCTCTGGTCATGGATAAATAAAACGGTCAGGAGAAGGAGGAATGGAATTAAAATCCTTGGAAAGTCCATTGGTCAGACAGCCCCTAACTGGGGACCGTGGGGTGCAGGGGAGGGAAAGAACTAAGGTTTATAGAGCCTTGTGCTAAGTGGTTTTCATCTAAGCCTCTCATTTAGACACCATAGCAACTCACAGTTCCTTGTGCTTTGTAGATGGCAGTGAGATCATCGTTACTGATGAGGAGATTGAGAGTTTAAATAACTTGGCTACACAGAGGTCCAAATCTGGGCTCTTTCTCCCTCCCCAGCACACCGTTGGATTCTGTGACCTAGCAGTGTGATCCCGCGCTGGGCTGGTTAACAGAGGGCAGAGGGGTGGGCTTGCGAGAGCGCCAGGACTTACGGCATTCGGGCAGCATGCACTTTTCCACCTGCTCCAGCTCCTCGTTGCAGTCCCCGAGCTCGGCCAGAGACTTGAGCATCCGCTGGCGGGTCCGCATGCCCTTCCCACAGGTCACGCTGCAGTCGCTCCACTCGGACCACGGGGACAGCAAGCATGGGATGGTGTCTAGGCCAAGAGCCAGGGTTGCCACTGAGATTGGGCCCCTCTTTGTGTTGTTTGATCTCTGTGTCCCCCACCCACCATCCCCACTTTGGCCCCAGGAGTAAAGTGAAACTGACCGATGGGTTAAGACAGTTAAGTGAACTCCACAGGGCAAGAAATGGCTCAGCAGACTACTGCTCTCCTCTCTCTCCTGCGCTCCCCCAGCCCTGCTGGAGGCTAGCTAACATGGCATCCGATGCTACTGAATACATAGGTGATATGAATACACAGGTCTCTGCTTGAAACACTGCTCAGGGTGTGAGCAGGGACTCACTGGAGACAGAAAGCTCTCATGCATGCTAGGAACCACACACTAAAAGATGGACTCTGTGCTGCATTTTTGGACACTGGTGCTGAAATCCTTAGAATGTGCATGGACTGTGTGCGTGTGTACATATGTGTACTCATATGTGGGCCTGTGCATAGAACGGGGGCTGTAATGCTTTATGGGCCAGGCAAATCCAATGTGAGAGAGTGGGGAGGCCTAAGATGACCTGGAGAATGTACATCCCACCTACATGAACCGTTACATCCCACCTACATGAACTGTTACCCTCACAAAGAGACTGGGCCTCTAGACACAGCTGCAGGTGACACCAGTTTGCCCTCCCAGCATTGCTCAGAATGTCAAAGGAGGCCACGCTCTCTGGGTCTGGTTGATGTCTGCACAACTACTGCCCTTATTTTGATGGTGGACCACATTTTCCCCTGCACCTGCCCAATCTCTGACCTTGATGGAGGTGGTAGTAGGGGGTGCTGCGGTCCTCCATACTGTTCCTGCCCCCATCCCTCGCCACCTCCCATGCCCACTCACGACACTCAGGCATCATGCACTTCTCTGCTTGGGAAGTCTCAGCCTTGCACATGGAGCCGTCCGCTGGGCTCATCTTGACCATGCGGTGCCGCTTCTTCATGCCCATCCCGCAGGTGGCGCTGCACTCGTCCCACTCGCCCCACTCGGTCACCAGGCAGCTGCTGGAAGCTGGGGAGTCCCGAGGCCTTGGAGTCGCATCCGCTGCTTTAGGAGCCTGGTGCCTGCCCTACGCCGCCCCCCCACCCCCACCCCACCCCCACCCCGTACCCTCACTCACAGCACTCCTCGTTGACGGTGCACTTCTCCGTCTCTTCGGTGGGCAGCGTGCACACGGAACCATCCTCTGGGAACTGCTTCACGTACCTCTCCCGGGACCGCATGCCCAAGCCGCAGGAGATGCTGCAGGGCGACCAGGTGATCCACTCGGACATGGTGCAGGTGGAACCATCTGCAACAAACGGAGCGGACTCTGCAGCCCTAGCGCTGCACACCAGGGGGTGCGCCACACATGGCCTATGCGACCCAAGTCCTTAAGGGCAGGAATCAGGAAGGAACCAGCTGGCCTTCCAGGGGAGTTAGGCAGTTGAGGATATAAGGGAACAAAAAAGGTATACAGTTTTTTAAACCAGTACTTTCTCTAAGAGGAAACGAAATGCTTTTTTCTAGGCACATGGGACAGTGAGGATTACTCCTTATCTTGCAATAATACATATGAAAGATGCTTGGATAGATAGAAGGGTGTTTTATATGTGTGCAATAAGATATAATCTACATATAATTTAGGATAAGTCATAGTCCACTTGTATGGTCTAGGATTATTATACATTTAAGGCCATTTAATAAAATTTAAAAGTCACTTCCTCAGTCACCACACTGAAGTGCGGACTAGGCAGGTGTGCCCAGTGGCTACCATACAGGACAGTGCAGACAGAGAACATTTCTGTTGTGCCAGAAAGTTCCACCAGGCGGTACTGGAAAGCCATTATATAGACAGTGTTCTGAGATGCTGTGTAAGCTCTTTTGCTCAGAGGAAACTGAGACTTTGGTTATTGTCTAAAGCTGCCAGTTCCCAATCTAGAAAAACAGATGAGAGAATTTTGTCCCTAAGGGTAGAGAGTGTCACTGGCCTTGGGACGTAGGGACCTGAGGGCTGATTTGTACCCAAAGAGCAGGTTATGCTAAGTGGCCACAGGCCTCTCAGTGCCTCAGTGGAGGTTGGTAACAAAGAAGAGACGATGCCATCTGCTAATGGGGAGTAAATGGTGGGGTGGCGAGTGAGGGAGAGAACGTCTGCGTGTGTCTGGAGAGGGAGACGTAGAGGAAGAATGAGGAGGGCAATACATCCAGCCTTCTGCGTTGATATCTTGGACTACACGTGGCTTTGCTCCTATGAGTGGGTGTTAGCAATGGCCATGGGCATGTAGAAGACGCTCAGGATTGGGTGAGAAGGATAATGGAACCTCTCTGCATGGCCTGTTTCCTGGGGTGGGGGTGCTGCTCCTGCTGGAAACACAGGCAGGTGTTTGCATGTGTGCTTGCTTAGTTCTTAAATAAGAAGAGGAAAATGAGGTAATGCACCTACCAACTATCCATTTATTCATGTGAACAAAAATACTGAGTGCTGAGTGGTGAGCTCTGAGGTTAAAAGATGTGCAAGATGTGGATCTTGTTTTACTCCAGAGAGAGAATGAGAAAGAGAGAAACTGACAATAATTCCAGGCATTGGAAATATGACAATGATGGTGAGCCCAGGGCACTGCAGAGGGAAAAAGTCACCCCTTCGGGGAGTTCTGGGGACATGAGGGCACATCTTAGCAAACTTTGCTGGGTGATGCATATTTGTGTTGAAGGTAAAGGGAACATATTATGCAAACACCCCTTTGTGGAGAGTGTATGTGTGTGGTACTGGGCGGTGACGCCAGAAAACATGGCTGCAGTCAGAGTGGGAGCAAGCCTGCACATGTGCACAGACTGTCACCTGCACACGTGTGGAGCCTACACCTTGTTATCTGACCTTCAGACAATGCAGCTACACAAAGCTGGTGGTGCAGTAAGAAATCATAGCTGGAACCCACATGTTAGAGCCAGAGACAAGGCCAACTAAAGGCATGTGCACAACCAAATAAGATAATTGTATGCCAGTGTGATGTGGTTGGAGGTACAGGGCTTGGTAAGCCCCAATTCAGGCTTGTCAAGTCATCACTCTGAGCAGGAGGAACACCCTCACCCCAACCTGAGGGTCTTCTGAGAGGAAGAGATTGGAGTCAACAGGCTCTGTTCTTGAAGCATCCCCCAAACAGATGTCCTTAGGTGCCTTTACTAACAATGCGTGGTTCAGTATTGCAGTATGATGTTAATTGCATTGGAGGAGTGTCAAAGAGCTCATTTTCACCAGACCTCCACCTGGGTTCTCTGCAGAACTATTTTTGTTAGTAAATTAAGCTGAGGAGTTTGCACATGGGCAATAAGGAGCCACCAATTTTTCAGTTAGGGAGTGACACGATCAGATCTTTGTTTGCAAAGGACCCTTCTGCTGCTGCCCTGGAAGTAGAGAGAGATGACAAGGTCTGGGATAAAGGGCTGGCTCAGATGATCAGGAAAACACTTGTAGATGTAGTTGCCACAATAAATTGTACACTCAAGCTGTCATATAATTATTCCCAAATGTCCAAAGGGATCTTTGCTTCATTCCTATTCCAAATGCTTCCCGGATAACCAAGTGCAGAAGGGAACCTGATGTGGACACAAGAGAACTTTATTTGACTTTGAGTGGGGTAGCTCCTGGGGAGTATGCACCTTAGGTAAAAAAAAAAAAAAGCAGGCATATTTGGAGAAATAGAAAACTCTATCATAAAATTCATGTGAAATCTCAAGGGCCCCCAAATAACCAAAACAATCTTAAAAAAGAAGAAGGAAGTTGAATGACTCACAGTTTCGTATTTCAAAATTTAGCTACAAAACTACAGTAAACAAAACAGTGTGGTCCTGGCTGATAGACCAATGGAACAGAATGGAGAGCTTAGAAATAAACTCTTATGTACGCAGTCAAATGATTTTTACAACGGTGCCAAGACCATTCAGTGGAGAGAGGACAGTTCTTTCAATAAATGGTGCCAAGAAATTTGGATATCCATATGCTAATGAATTAAGTTGGGTCCTTACCTAATACCATATAAAAAAATTAACTCAAAATGGATCAAAAACCTACACATAAGAGCTAAAGCCATAAAACTCTTAGAAGAAAACATAGGGGAAAAAATTCATGACACTGAATTTGGCAATGATTTCTTGGATAGGACCACAAAGACCCAGGCAATCACAGAAAAAGAAGACAAATTTGACTTCATGAAAAGTAAACTTTTGTGCATCAAAGTGAATAGGCAATTTCTGGAATGAGGAAAAGGTATTTGCAAATCATATCTGCTAAGAGATTTATATCTAGAACACACAGAAATTCTTAAAAAATCAACAACAAAAGACTAGACAACCTGATTCAAACATAGATAAAGGACTCGAATACACATTTCTCCCAATAAGATATCTGAATGGCGATTAGCACATTAAAAGATGCTGACTGTCACGATCATTAGGGAAATGCTACCCCAACCACAGTGAGATCCCTCACACCCACTGGGATAATGGCTATCAACTACAAACAGAAAATATAAGCATTGGTGAGCACGCGGAATTGGAACCCTGTGCACTGCTGGTGGGAATGTAAAATGGGGCAGCCCTGTGGCAAACAGTATGGCAGTTCCTCAAAGAAATGAAAATTAGAATTACCATATGACCCAGCAATTCCACTTCTGGATATATGCCCACATGTATTGAAATCAGAGTCTCTAAGGCGCTTGTACGCCAGTGTTCATGGTATCATTATCCATAGTAGTGAAAATGAAGCAACCTGTGTCCACTGACAGATAAATGAATTTAAAAGGTAATATAGACACATAATAGAGTATCGTTCAGCCTTAAAAAGAGGTGAATTCTGACATAAGCTACAACATGGATGAACCTTGTGTACCTCAGGCTACGGGAAATAAGTTAGTAACAAAAAGACAAACATGGTATGATGATACTACATGTGGCCCCTAGAGTAGCCAGATTCATAGAGATAGGAGGTGGAGTGGAGGTTGCCAGGGGTTGAGGGAAGGGGGAATGGGAATCATTATTTAACGGGTGCAGAGTTTCAGTTTTGCAAGATTAAAACTAAAAGAGTGGTGGAGACGGACAGTCGTGATGGTTACACAACCATTAAATGTCCTTAATAGCCCTGAACTGTAGACTTAAAAATGGTCACACTGCTAAATTTGATGTTAGGTACCACAGTAAAAAAAAAGAAAAAGAAAGCAGGCACAGGTCTGACTGGCATGGCTCAGTTGGTTGGGTGTCCTTCTGCAAAGCGAAAGGTCACCAGTTCGATTCCTGGTCAGGGCACATGCCTGGGTTGCTGATTTGGCCTCCTGGAGGGGTGCATATGATCAGATGTTTCTCACATCAATGTCTCTCTTCCTCTCTTTCTCCTTCCCCTCCCCTCTCTCTAAAAATAAATAAATAAAATATTTTTTTTAAAAAAGCAGACACAGCCCAGTATGTTTTAGAGCTGTTATCACCATGTGGGAGCCACCTGAACTGGGATAAGGAAGGACCGTCCCCTGTGGAGGGGTAAAGACCTTCACTCCCACTGCAGGCCTCCGTCAGACGGCCCCCAGCCCTGAGCAGGAGAGAGCACTCCCGACATTGCCCGGCCTGTCACAGCCTCCCCTGGCCTGTCTATGTCAGGGCTCGTGGCCCTCAGAAGTGTCCGACCACAGGCACAATAGTCCACAGTAAACCTCTGAGGCAGAGCGGCAGGGGAGGGGTTGTGCCTGCCCCCTGGGAAGAACCAGGGGGTGAGTAACCTGCAGTGGGGTCACTCCCACTCCAGGTTACTCCAGCTAGCCTGCGCTGGGAGGTGTTTTTCTTCCTGCCACAAACCAGCTCAGTCTGTACATGCCTTCCTGTCGCCTTGCTGCACCTCTGAGACAGTGAAGATCACAGATTACGGAGCATATAGAGATCTGTCCAGACGGAGTGGGAGTCGTCCCCTGGAAAGCAGGCGGCTGACCTTTGCACAGCAGCAGTCAGGTGTCAGCTGGGAGCTGCAGCTATCAGGACATAGGGGGTGCAAGCTCGTAGGTGCTGACCTTTGAGCAGCGGCAGAGGGAGAGAGACAGTCTGAGGATTCCTGCAATCAGCCCCAGGCCCTGAACACAAGGAAGTGACTCAGGTTGGGGTAGGACATCGAGAGGGTCTGTCAGCCACACAGAATCAGGGCGGTGGATCTAGATTCAAACTTGCCCAACCTGTTCATTGGCTTCTTTTTTTCTTTTTAAAGATTTTACTTATTTTTAGAGAGAGGGGAAGGGAGGGAGAAAGAGAGGGAGAACAACATCACTGTGAGAGAGAAACATTGACTGGTTGCCTCTCACACACACCGTGACTAGGGACCAAACCTGCAACCCAGGCATGTGCCTTGACAGGGAATCGAACTGATGACCTTTCACTTTGGGGAATGTTGCCCAACCAACTGAGCTACAATGGCCAGGGCCCATATGCTTCTAAAAGGAGGTTGGAGTTAGGGCCCAGAAGCAGGCTACTTGCTATCTGTCATTTATCATGAGACGTTTGCTAGCTCCTCAGTAACCTGTGTATATTTACTTCATGGCTGGGGAAGGAGGCTGGTGGCCAGTCAGTCTCAGGAATCCTTTTGAAGTCGTGAGACACGTCCTGCATTCAGAGTCCTGGAGACACTGCTGGAGATGAGGGACTGCCCCAGGTGGACCCCACTGACAACCACAGTCAGGGTCCTGGCGCCCCACCAGGGACGCAGCCTGACCAGGTGCACGGGGCCTGCATCCCCTGCCTCAGGAGGGGCAGACGCATCCCCTCCTGAGCTTCTGCCAGCCACTTGCTGGCCTGGGTGGTCTCCTCACCTTCGTCGCTGCAGCCGGGGCCCATGCAGGGCTGGAAGTCCTGGGTGTCGGGGCAGGGGACGCTGAGGTCCAGCTGCGCCTTCAGCATGCGCTGCCGCATCCTCTTGCCTTTGTCGCAGGTGGAGGAGCTGCAGGCGGACCACGGCGACCAGTTGGAGTAGATGCAGGTTTCAGGGGTGTCATCTGGGAAGAGCATGTGACAGGGTTTCCCTGGGGGCCTGTGGCCCCTGGGACTGACCCTCTCCCCAGACAAGCCCTTTTAGGGAAGAGGAATCCCTGCTGCCGGACCAGCTTCCGTGAGCCTGATGCTTCCGGATGGAAGTCAGTCTCTTCTCTTTAAAAAGTATGCTTTAGCTTCCACTAAGAAGTATCCAAATAATCTAATAATAAGAAAAGATTCTCTTCCTATCCCTTCCCCTGGACACATGGACGCCTCTCCGTTTCCAGCGCCTCCCTGTGGCAGACGTTGCTCCCGCAGGGCTGTGGGCACGTACCAGACACGCTGGGGGCGCACGGGTGTTCCGTGTTGCTGCCTCATCTCCCCGGTGATTGCGATACGTACGCAGGGGTCACGATGAGGGTAAGAGCAGCCAGTGTTCGCTGAGCACTTACTATGTGCCAACACCGTTCTAAGAACCGTACCTGCTCTTTCCCGTTTGAGACAGCAACGCTCTCTGGGGCAGGCTCTGTTACTGTCCTCATTCTACAGGTGAGGATACCAGGATAGAAAGGTGAGCTTCTCCCCCAAGGCCCCAGAGTGAGAGCCCCAGTTGTGTGGCCCCAGACCCTATGAGGAAACTGGAGCTGAAGCCACGGCTCTGCCTCTCCGCCTGACAGGAGGGTCTGATGGGCCTCACTCTCCTGGGTGGGGGCGCGGACTCAGGCTGCCTCACAGGCCAGCAGGAGAATCAAAGCAGAGAGGGGTCTGAGGGCAGTGGAGCCTGTGCAAATGCCGTTTATGTGATCATTTTCAAGGCCTGGGATGCTGTTGAGTGCATATTCATTCCTGTGTCACGCCTTCCCTAATTCTCTGATACTTTGTGCCTAGTTTTGGCCTTGCTTTGGATTATATGTCTCCAGCAGAAACCCTCAAAAATGGGATTACCAAATCAAAGGATGTCTCTGTGGCTTTTAAAACATGTTAGCAAATTGCTTTTCTAAAGGATGGTGCCAATTTATGTTGCCCCTGGCAACAAAGGGAAACAACGTACCTTCATCCTTCTCTTCCGGAGCCAGGTCCGCTACAATGTCATCCACGTTGTCAGGTATAATATTGCATTGTTCCCCCTGCAAAAGGAGTTGTACTCAGAGGGCTCACATTCAAGAATGGAATGTGTGGAGGGAAGACGAGGGAGGACGTGACATCTAATGCCCACCCTGTATTCAAGGCAGAGTTCTGGGACAACATTTACAATCTGACTGAAAAAAAAAATGGCAATAAAGCCACTTCCAAACCTGACCTGTGGCAGACATTTGTAATTGATTGTGGAACTCATGATGAAACCTATTTGCCTGGGTCCAGTCATTCAGTGGAGCATGAGACCCTATTATCTGCATTTTGCTCATTTATATTGTGTGAGCAATTTGTATACTAGAAACCTTGGGAGGCCCAGGGATTCTACATCCCGGAATATGCCGGGGACCCCATAATTCAAGAACAGGAAGGGGTATGGGGTCCTTGTACCCCGGGTGGGAAAGGTCTGTGTCAGGTAAAGCTCTAACCCAGTACCTTCCGGGCAATTCTCTCGATGACGACCCTGGCTACTTGCGTGATGGACCCGCCCTCGGGGTCGTAAAAAGGACTCTGAGGATGGTCCAGGCTGGTCAGGGGCCGGATTTTCTCCTGGGGAATTGTGGGCTTGTTGGGCGACTGCAGTGGAGGAGAAAACAGAGAGTGGGAAATAAAATTGGTTAAAAGCCACAAAAGCAATTTTTTTTTATTTGCAAAAGCAACTTGTAGTATGATCAAAACAAAAGCCATGATAGGAACTTAACAAGTATGACTACTCTTTATTTTGTGGGATTCTGTTCCTGCCCTGCGTCGTGCACGGCCATCTGCTGATCTGGACTTTCAGATTCTCCTGCGTCCGTGGTAGGTTCCTGCCCAGATGCAGAAGCCACACGCTGCGGAGACATCACCCCCGCTAGGGGCCAGCTGGGCCTAAATGCAGAGCTCCTCCCACTAGCCTGGGCGTTGGCAAACTTTTGTCTGCAGAGGGTCAGGTGGTAAATATTTTAGGCTCCATGGGCCAAACTGTGTCTGTCGCAAGGACTCAGCTGTTATGGTGAGAAAGCAGCCCCAGGCAACACATAATCGAGTATGTGAGGATGAGTTCAACATTTTATTTATGAATTAAGTGGAAGGCCAGGTTTGTCCCACAAACCACAGTTAGAACTGTCTGTCCTAGGCTGTGCTACCACTGGTTCTCTGATGACTGAAGATTTTGATGTTGTTGGTGTGTTGGCCATAACTGAGAAATATTGGCATCAGGAGAGATTCCAAGCTCCTCAGCCTGGTTGTCCAGGAACTTTTGGAATGTGGCCCAGCCCCCTTTCTCCCTCTGTCCCCCCCCCCCCCACTCCCTCCAGGCATTTGCCTTTTGCCTGCCGTTTCATGCTTATGGACAGACGGAAGGAAGAACAGCTCGTGGGCAGATTCCCTCTCCGCCTCCTCCCGGCGGGCTGATGAGTGCACGCTAGCCTCCAGGTACTATCGCTCTGTGAGCTCATCTAGGACACAGCCTGGGCCACATTCGCCTCTGTGTCCAGGACCCCTGCAGCAGGGCCAGGCAAGGTTTGTCACTCACCACTGCAGGCACACACCCACCTCATAGGTCACCCCGCTGTCAGTGCCGGCGTCCCAGGGAATCAGGTCCTGCACCACCTTCTGCACCCAGCCGCACTCCTTGGTGCACAGGTCCTCCGCAGACAAGCCCACGTTCCAGTCGGGGCTCGGGCCCATCATGGTCAGGAAGGACATTAAGTGGCGTGTCCGGTCCACGGAAAACTCAGCCGAGGGTGCTGCTCTCCTGGAGACCAAACACAGAGACCATGACATCAGGGACTCCAGGGGTGCCCGCTCCGAGGCAGGCCATGGCTAAAGGAGGAGATGCACAGAAGGAAGGTGGATTCTCGGTCTCCCACGGCCTGTGGCCATGAGTGGTGTGCACCCTCCTCTCCCCCGAGTCTGTCCTCTGGCCACACGCAGAGAGAGCCACGTGCTGCCATGCGACTCCACACCTCTGACGTGCCCACGGCACGCACTGCTGTTTTGTGCCGTCTCATCGACTTGTTTAGCTGCTTATTGACGGTCACCTCTCACAGGACTGACTGTATGCTCAGAAAGCAGGGCTTTTGTCTGTCTCACTGTGGCTTTATTTCCAGTTCCTGTAACAGTGCCTGGCACGGAATGATTCTGAGTGTATGAATGAACAAATACTTTGTTCTATATGTGAGCCCAGCTGTGTTGGGTGTGAGAGGAACTTCACAAACAAATGCTGGCTAACAATGCCCCGAGCCCTTGTACTTTCTCGTTGAATCCCCAGAACAGGATAATTGACCCCAAGTCACAGACGCAGAAACTGAGGCTAAGAAGGGTTATGTGGCTTGTTCAAGGTCACAAAATGGTAGAATGGAGACCGCAACCCAAAAGTCCACATTCATTCAAGGCCAGTATTCTTTTCATCATCAGTTTGTAAATCCTCCACCCTGCCCCTTTGTGACTGTACTGAGATCTCCATCCTGCCACCAGGGGGAGCGCCTTCCCCATCCCGCTGCCTGCGTAACAGGCTGCTTTACAGCAAAGCCCTGCCCTGGAACCAGGCTCTCAGCCACTGCCCACCCCTTTGCCGTCAGCGAGTGAGGGCCCCGCCGAAGAGCCAGAGACCTTGGGCTGACAACCCCTAAGCTACAACCTGTCTCCTCATGTTGCTAAGAAGAGGCCTTAGGAGTGGCCCACCGAGGGGCTGGGTTGGAGGGTTAGAGTCAGTCAGCACCGGCTTGGTAGCAGGCCTGCGTTACTTTGTTTCCCTTTCCCTGGGGAGTTAGAATTATTATACTGTTGTGTAGAGAAGAAAGGAAAGGGTAGAGAGGTTCATGAACTTGGAGATAACTGGGGCTTCGGTCTGAGGTTTGAAGGTCAAGCCACCTGACTCTGCGCCCCCAGGCTGCCAATCGTGGGGAATCCTTGGCGGCAGGCCAACTCGCCTGTTCAGTCCAGCTGGCAGCTGGTCCACCTCAGCTGTCGAGGAGTCCCTGTGTCCCTCTGCTGGGACCAGCTGCTTCTGGCTGCCTTCACCTGTCCCCGGAAAGCATCGACTCCAGACCTGGCCAGGCCCCATGGCAGTGGGTCGCTCCCGCTCTGCCAGGCCACACAGGATCAAACACTAAGCAGAGAAAGAAGGAAGCCAAGTATCCTTGGACAAACTGACAAACCTTCAGTCTGTGCCTCAGGGTCCGAATCTGTAAAATGAGGATCCCCATACGGGTTACTGTGAGTGTTCAGGGAGACAACTTGCCTAGGATACTTAGTCCCGTGCCTGCCTCCTGAGCTATTACCACTGCGCCGTATCCTTGTTTCAGCAGCTTCTTCAAAGACCCGATTTCTAGAATACCTGCAGTCTGGGGTGCTGCAGCATCGCTCACCTACGGACTGGTAACTACAGACCGACGCCTGCCTTCCACTAAGTGCCACAGAGAACACTGGTGTCTGGGTGGGGCTGCTGTGCGCCCCAGCCCTCCTTGGCACCCGGCCCCTGAAAGTCCACCAGTGCCTTGGAGAGCAGGCTTCCTCTTCCACTGCCATAGAGACCAACCTTCCCACTTACTCCCTTCTGATCTCCATGAGTATGTGGCTTTGGGTCAGGTTAGTGGTTCCTATTCTGTACCCCACTGGTGGGACTATTCACCATGACAACCCGAGGGGAAGAAAACAGCTCTACTGAGGAATCCAGAGCTGGAGAAACCAAACCGACCCTCACCCAATTCCCCCTGGATCCACTGCTCAGCCGATGGATGGAACCATCTGAGAACCTCATGTTTTACAAGGACTTATGCAAATTGTTCTCTGCAAATGCATTTTGGCCAAATCTGTAATCTGAGGGAGGTATCCTACAGTCTTTGGTACGTATTTCAAGAGGTAGGAAATTTGCAGCAACCAAAAATGCCTCCATTGCTTGGGACCCCTGGTGGGTCTTCCCAGAGTATGTTGGGTCCAGTCTTTCCATGGACTGTCTTGTGTAATTTCCTCCTTCTCTGATGGATTTCCACAGAGGAGGGGCTGTGTGTGCCTTGTTCACAGCTGCATCCCAGCGCCTGGCAGAGAACTTGGCACGCGGTGGATTCTCTTCAAATATTTGTTGAAATAAATGAATTAATCTAAGAAACAAATATGGAGCCAATGTACTTTCTTTGACCTTCAAATGTAATTTAAAAATCACCTCAAGGTATTTAATACTTCTGTAATAAAAATGAAATGTTAAAATAATGAGTTAAGAGTACATGTGAATTTTCTTTAGGAAGTGCTAAATATGATTAGAATTCTTTAGTTTGCCTAAACCATAATAGACATTCTGATTCATGCTTTCTTACATGTTACATTTTCCCATTTATGGTATTCTGTTAATTTGGTTTCATTTTTCTATGTGGGATTTACATTTTAATCATTTTCCTAGCAAAGACAGTTGATCTGGCCATACTATAAAGCTGAATACATTATAAAGCATGATAATGGAAATGACATAATATTCAGGATAAGAGATAAAGATGAATTTGTGGCACAGACTGGAGATCCCACAAACTTTAGAGGACTTACTCAATTTAGGGGGAAAGAAAAGATTGCGCAATGAGTGGGGTTGGGTTATCTTAACTGCAATAAAAACATGGGGTTCCCATTCAGTATCATACACACAAAAAGTCCAGTGTTAAATAGAAAACCAGATTATTGAAAAAAAGTCAAGTTTTCTGGTCTGCTAGAGAAGTGTTAATTTCCTCAGCTTTTCAACAATAAAAGCAATCACAAACATAGCTAATTGAATTAGACTCAACTAAAACCAGCCGTATAATGAAAACAGCTGTACTGAATTAGAGAGAAAAATAACACGTGGGCAAAAGGTTTCCCTCTAGTGGACAGGTGGCAAACACAAGGCCCTCAGGCCGAATCCAGCCCTCCACCTTGTTTTATCTGGCCTGGCACCTTGTTTCTACCCGGCAGCAGCACCAAACTCTTGCTTAACTATTAAAGAGTAGTTACATGTATACATCCTATAATTACATTCGGCCCTTTGAAGGCAACTGCGAGGCTGATGTGGTCCCTGGTGAAAATGAGTTTGACATCCCTGCTCTAGTGTGACTGATAAATGTTAATATCTATTGCATATACAGAGTTAATCCAAATCTGTAAGAAAAATATCAGTCTTGATAGATAAACATTTCTAAACAAAAATTCCAAAAGCAGCACAAAAGAGGCAATAAAGGGATTTTATGATCCTTTTTGAGTCTTATTATACCCTTCTAAATTAAAGATCCACACCGGTGAGACTCAAGCCACTGGTGACCCAGATCACTCACATACTGAGTTCTGTCTCTCATGGTGTGTTTTAGGACTGTTCCCAATAGTTTTTGATGCTGCAGAAACTCAATAAGGCCACTAGAGGGCGCTCGAGCCACGCATTAGGCTGAGGCCCTATGTGAGTGGAGGAAGGTTTGAGTGGTTTCCAGACTTAGAAAACTATAACCTGGAAGCATCTGGAGCTCCGGGTCCATCTGCTTGATTAGATCATATATAGTCCAGTCTTCCTTTACAATCCCGAGGACATCAGTGGGCCTGGGCAAGTGCTGCAGGAGGCAGGGAGGGTCCTGGGCCTTCAGCCCTGACTGAGGGAAAGATGCCTCTGACCTCATGGGGAGCCAGGGCTTGGGTGATTACCGGGCACAGACCTTCCAGAGGCAGGACTTCTGCGCAGGGTGAGGGTGTTTCCGGTTCACCAAACCCTCGTCTGTCTTGAGAACAGGACCATTGTCTAATCAAATGTTAATTAAGCAGAGTGGCTGGGAATAATTAAGGAGACTACAGTCCTTTACAGGACTCATAAGAAAGGGAAAATAAGTTTTTTTAAAAATATAAACCCTTTAATTTTTTTAGAGAAATAAAAATTCTTTTAAAAAGTTCCAGTAATTCCTAGCATCCAGACTAACCCAGAGGACTGGGTGGTGGAAATGCAGAATCGCTTTGCAGGAAACCTGCGCATTTTTTGCTCAGGCGCCAGAGGAACTGGTGACGGATGTGGGTTTTGTTGAGAATTTCTTTCCTGTCTGTACCTGTGCTCCGGGCTGTTGGAGCCACAGCTTGATTTATTGAGCTAAACAAGTCAGCAGCTAATTTGTTCATTCAAGGCTGTCCTTTGAGAAGTGGTCTAGTGGATAAAGATGAAGATCATTGGAAAACAAGTCAGTTTCCATGGGCAGGACCTTGCAAAGTAGGTCACCCTGGCTTTCCACCAGAGAGAGAGGCTGGAATCCCATTAACCTCAATCGAGCAGGCTCAGTGAGGAGGGGCAGGGCTGAGTCTGCAAAACAAAACTTGGCTGCGTGGAGGCTTCCCAATTTGACTTCCTAATGAGATTTGGAAGGGGAAAGGGGAACGTGGGTAGGGGAATATCAAAGGAAAATAACGTTCCCTTGACCAGCTGGTAGCACTGAGTGGAGAGGGTTTAGGTGTTTGGGAAGTCTGAGTGTTTGCCCTCAATTAATTCTGTTCCACTGGGGTATTAGGACGTCTAAGGGAGGAGTGAAGCGTGGGAAGGTATCTCCAAATATTTTTTTTTCAGTTTCTCAGAAAGCCTATCCTGTCTTACAAACCAAGGGGAAAAAAAGTCCATTGATTCTTTCATCCCCTTGGAGCTGTGGCTCAGTCTCGTCTTTCATAGCATACTTCACAGAAGGGTTGTCTGTACTCACTGACTCCATAACCTCCTCTTCTGTTCACATTTCACCCTGCTCTAGGCTGTTTACCTCTCCCCCTCCACTCCACAGAGAGGAGTCTCAATAAGGTCACTGACAGATCTTCATGTTGGTAAATCTAGTGGGCACATTGCAGCTCTAATCGTACTTGATTTCTCAGCCACATTGGACACAGGCTGCCCACTCCTTGAATGTGTTTTTCACCTGGCTTTTCTGGTAGCAAGCTTCCTTCCCCCATTTCTTTGCTGTTCCTTTTCTGTTTCCTTTGCAGGGAAGTCCTCTTCAGCACTAAATGCTGGTGCTCTCTGGACTCAGCCTGAAGCCCTTGACTTATTCTCAAGCTCTCTCTCACCCATAACCTTGTCATTATCACCCATTCCTTGTTGACTCAGTGCAGAATTCCCTCCCCACTCCATACCCATGAGCTTCAGAGCTTTATAGGTAACTGTTTATGTAACCCCTCCAACTGGGTATCTCGAAGGCATTTCAAGGTAACCCATCCAGAACTGAATCCACGATCTTCCCCGCTGAACTTCATCTGATGTTCCATACGAGAGGACCCACCAACTCATTAATTAAGCATCTTGACCTCTCTGCCTTGCCCATCCTCCTTATCCAACGTAGCACCACGGCCGTCCGTTTTCACTCCCACGTGTCTCCCAGGTCCCTGCACCTCCCCATCTCCACCACCACCGTCCTAGTCAAAGTCCCTGTGAATCCTCCCCGCACCTCTGCAACAGCCTCCTCACCGGTCTCTCCTCAGCCACTCTTACCCTTTTCATATTGGAGCCAGGGTGTTGTTTTAATCTAGATCTGATCATGTTGTCATCCAGGTTAAAACCCTTCAATGATTTCCCATTACTCTTAATGTAAAAATCAAAATCTCGAATGTCACATGGGTTGGCCCTGCACCAAGCTCAGCTCTGATTTCTGGACATGGTTACACTATAACCTGTTAGTACTTTATGCTCTGCTCCCTCCTCAGGGCTTTTGCACATAATGGTCTCTCTAGACTTTCTAGAATGTTCTTCCCTTTCTTTGCTTCTTTACATAGTTAACTTCTATTGATTCCTTAACTCTTAGCTCAATTCCCATTTCCTCAAGGAGGTTTCTCTGATCTGCAGGCTGGGTTGGGGCCCCAACCACACACGCTCACAGCAGCTTATGCCTTTACGTCATAGACATGTCACATTTGTCATCGTTTGGTTCATGTCTCTCCCCCTTTAAACTGTAAGCTCCATGGGAAGATCTGCTCTGCTCAGCGCTGTGTCCCTGGGGGCCTTCCACAGCACTTCCCTTGGGAGACCCCAGATGCACATTTGTTGAGGCAATTAAATGTTTTAGTCACCCTTGATAGAATGTAGGGTAAGTGCAAGCTAAGAATCTGTTTTTTTTTTCAGGAGTCAGACAATTTAGTGTGGTCACACTGCTAATTTCATGTTGACCAGAAGTCTGATTGACAGCTTTATGTTTGGATTGATTAAAGAATGGATAATGAACAGTTACTTAACGGAAGGACCTTGTTGTAGTGAAGGGCGTAGACACTAAAGTCAGCTTCTGCGCTGATGCAGCTGGATGCTGAGGCTGGACCTGTCACACAACCTCTGAGTGTGGGTCCATCCACTGTACAGTGAGGATTATGATCCCCGGAGGGATTATCATGGGGTTAGTATGAGCGTTAAGGAATGTAAGTGCCTAGTATGGTATCTGGCAAATAGTAGGTGATCACAGAAAAAGGATTTCTCTCAGCTTTCTTCCTTTTCTCTTTCTCTTCCTCCCTCTGTCCTTCCTGAAGCACCTTGCTTTACTGTTTACATCTTTCTAAACCCAGGCTCCTTAAGGGAAAATGGTATAGGTATCCTTAGTGGTGTAAAAATTGACATCCACAAACTGTGGCCCAGATGTCCCCAACCCCTACCTGGTCTTGAACCAAAGGTGAGGAACTTGTCATAGGAAGGTTCTGAGAGCCTGGGAGCTGGGGGAAGCTGAGAAGAAAGCCTGAGCAAACAGCATTCAGAATGGATATTTTTTCAGATTGATGTTAATTATGCAAAGGGGGCTGAACACCTTTGTGAATTCACATCGGTGTCTTCTGGTGGGACAGCTGGGAAACAAGAACACGCCCCGTCTACCAGGAGATGGCCCCGCCCAGCAGGCCCTGCCTCTACTGCTTCTTGGAGGCAAAGGCACTTCCAAGCCTGGGCCTGTTTTCAGCTACGGTCAACCCTTAAACGGCGTTTGAACTGTGCAGGTCCATTTAACAGGGTGGGACAAAAGTAGGTTTACAGTTGTTCATATGGAAAATAATGCGATAATTAATAAATAATAATATAAGAACAAACTCAAGTGTTTCACATATTCACAATTGTAAGCCTACTTTTGCCCCACCCTGTATATGGGGAATTTTTTTCAATAAATATGTATAGTCCTGTAAATGTATTTTGTCTTCCTTATGATTTTTTAAAATAACATTTTCTTTTTTCTAGCTTACTCTTATAAGAAAACAGTGTATAATACATAAAACATACAAATATGTGTTAATCGACTGTTTATGTTATTGGTAAAGGTTTTTGTCAGCAGTAGGTTATTAGTAGTTAAGCTTTGGGGGAGTCACAAGTTACACATGGATTTCCATCTGTGCAAAGGATTGGCACCCCAGGCCCCTGTGCTGTTTTAGGGTTCACTTACTCTGTTCTCAGCTTCCTCAAACGAGATCCAGAGCAAGGCCCGGAGATCACAGCAAGCTGGCAAAAGCCTCCACACACCAGCCAGGCTGCCCTTGGTCAGCTGTTCCCATCCTCTCTTGCCCTCCTCAAGCCTCCGCTCAGGGCCTCAGCTCCACCAGACCTGGGCCACTCTGGGGCAAGGAGCGTCCTTCCAGGCTCAGCCCCGTGGCACCTCCTGCCCAAAGACTTCCTGACCTTGCCCCAGCCCACTCCCAGGCTACGTTGTGCCCCTTCTCTGGGATCCCAGAGCCACTCATATCCTCATTGTAGCACTTCTCCTTTGGGAGCAAACAGGGCTACCATGGTGGCATTACAGTGGATATATTTTGTATATACGGGGCCGCGTGGACTTGTGCAGAGCAGGCCTGGAGTGGTGGAGCTCTGTCTGTTGTCTGTCTCCTCCTCGGCTGGGCATTCTAAAGGGTGGGGACTGGGTATAGGACAGGCACTGAGTAGGGGATAAGCCATTAATTTCCTGAATGGCTAAGCAGGTGGTCACCAGGTCCCTGGCAACAGCTTCCTTGCCATCAGCTGGTCATGTGCGAGTGCTCCTCCTCCCTCAGCTCCTACTGCCCTATGCTGTGGAGTCTTTCTTGCACTTCCCTTCCTATGCTTTATATGAGTTTGCCTGTTCTCCCATTGAGCAGTATCTCATACATTCCCCACATTGTTGCTGTCTTCATCAGTGTTACTGTTACCGTATGCAGACGGCTCCACAGAGAGGTGAGCCAAGCCTATCTTCATAAACCATTTTTTGGTGGTTGCCTGGGAACTTTGCTCCAGGCCTGGCATCCATGAAGGAGAAATAAAATCCAGGCTTGTTCAAGGAACTGCATGGGAATCAGGGTACTGCAGGGAGGTGCAGAGTAGGAGGTGGCCAGACATGAGCCCCGAGGAACAGGAGGCAGGGGCTGAAGCGTGTCATGCTCACTGTGTCCTCACGGGGGAATTGAGGAGTGCAGGCTGCATCCTGGAGATGCAGGGAAGTCATGGAGGGATTCTAAGGCAGGGAATCAGATTTGGGTTCTTAGAAGATCACTCTGATAACCCAGGATGAAGGATCAGACAGAGGAGCCCATGGAAGAGGGAAGAATCGAAGTAGTCTAGGTGAGAAAAGATGATGGCTTGAATTAGTGGCAGCAGAATGGCCAGGCGAGGACTGATTTGGGAGACATTAAGAGTGCAGAACTAATATGACTTAGTGATGGGCTCCATTTTGGATATGATGAGTTCAAGGTCCATGTGGGACATCCCCAGAGGTGCCCAGAAAATTGATGGATGGATTTATCCATCACCCGCCTACATACCTGCCTGGGGAAGTGGTAGTTTGGGGAGCCATCAGCATACCCCTATTTACCAAAATGCATGGTAGGATGAGATCTTAAGAGATGGAGTAGACAGAAGAGATGGAGACTGAGAATGGAACCCAGGGTAAACCTGACTTCCCGTGAGGCATATTTGCTTAGAGTGAGTGAGTACGCCCGTGAGCTTGGAGAGCAAGTATATTTCAGCTTGTTGTGGCTGAGAGCATGAGTGAATACATTCTGGTGAATCCGTGTTCTGAGCTGGATCCTCTGCAGCGTTAGAGCTATCAGGGGGAACAGAGACCAAGACTGCATCCTGAGAGGATAGGGGCACTGGTGACATTCCACACATGGGTATGCTCCTGGCCTGTGTGTCCATCTAACAGGTATTGCTGACTTTAATGAGCTAATTGGCATGCTGTGGCCATTAGGTGAGTGACTTCAAGTTCAAGGCTAGGATAGGGAGAACGAAGAGCCAGGGTCTGTTTGCTACTTACACGTTGAGAGGCTGCCAGGCTGGCCACTGAGCTTTGGCTTTGATTACGGTGAGGACCTCATCACTCTGCAAAAAAGAACCACAGATATTTAGTGAGGAGAGCTGGGCTCAGGGGAGCAAGAGGGTTTTGACAGGGTCACACTGTCTACCCCCACTCACTTACCTGCTATAGAGGCTCTACCTGCCCAGGTGTGGGAACCATCCAGCTCCAGGGTGGGGAAGCCCTGAGGCCTACGCAATCCCAGGAGGCAGGCTGAGTGCCCAGTGAGCCTGGTGCATGCTGGATACTGATGGGTCGGCTGAGCCACACCTTTGGTTTCCAGCTCAGCCCGCCCCGTTGCCCCTGGAGCCAGACTCTGACCTGGGCTCTGCCTGGACAGCCAGACTTCCGTATGTGTCTAACCTGAGGGAACATTGTGTGCTCCGAGTCCAGACCCAGACTGGGGCCTGCCCCAGGCCACGCTGGAGTGGGAGCCCACACTGCCCCCCAGGATCATCACCCCTGAGGCATTTCCTGCTGTTGAGGCTCATGCGCCAGATCAGACTCCTTTAGATGAGGAGGCCAGCACCAAGCCGGGGCCACACCCCGTGCCACTCATGCCTCTATACTCTATTTTGCTTTGGACAGTGTGTAGACCACCCTTAGGGTGTGGGGACCTAAAATAATTTTTTGAGGAAGAATCTGACAATGAATACTTTGAAGGAAAGCATGAAATCATCATTGTAGGGAAAAAATGAGAACTTTGCTGATTTTTGTTAAATATGAGGTTTATTTGAGTTCTTATTTTCAGTTACACACTGGGAGTGAGGGGGTGTCACCTTCTATCTCCCCTCCTGCTGGCCTGGGCTCTACAGTGCTCAGACACTGCTGCCCACTATGCATACAGAAGTCCAGACTGTCGCTGGCTGTGGAAGGAAGAGCTTTGCTGCTGATTAAACAGGTCCCCGAGTTGCAGGAGGGCAGAGGCATGCTTGGACAGTTCACAGCTCTGCCCCAGTTCTTAGAGCTATGCCTGGCTGTGGGTGCCTAGAAAATCATATTTGGAATGAACTGGTGGACTTCTCCTTAGCTGGGTACCTTGCCCAGAAAATCCCACAGCCTTGAGGAGACTGGAAGGAAGGAGGTCAGCAGTGTCTCCAGGATCAGGCGCAAAGATTATCAAAGACCTGCTGGTCTGGAGCACCTTGTTGGTGGGTGGTAAGCCTTTGAGAGAAAGGGAGATCAGCTGGATCCAGCTTGGCCTGGGTGTTACAGATGGTCCTGGTGGGGTGAAGGGCAGAAGTGTGGCCCACAGAGAAGAGCCCCTCCCTCCAGCCCAAGAAGAAACTTGCAGCCTCTTTCTGAGCTCAGGTTTCCCTCTTTAAAAAACATTATTTTAATTTATTGATTTGAGAGAGAGAGAGAAACATCGATTTGTTGTTCTACCCACATATGCATTCATTGCTTGACTCCAACACTCACCCTGAGCAGGGATTGAACCCTCAACCCTAGCTCATCAGGACAATGTTCTAACCAACTGAATCACCTGACCAGGGCTCAGGCTTCCCTCTTTTCATCAGAGTAAAGAATCACTGGAGATCAGGACTTCTGATCAAGATGGAGGCATAGGTAGACACACTGTGCCTCCTCCCACAACCAAAATAAGGACAATAAAAATTTAGAAACAAAAAAACAACCAGTACTGACAGAAAATTGAACTGTATGGAAGTCGGACAACCAAGGAGTTAAAATAGACATATTCATCCAGACTGGTAGGAGGGGTGGAGTTGTGCTGCTGAGTGGAGAGGGGTTGTGGCAAAAAAAGGCGGTGGCTGGAGGAACTGGGTGTGCAGGAGGCAGATTGTGGAGGGGCGTGGCACGCAAGGTGGCTGGCGGACCTGGTGGTCCCACATTTGCACACATATAATCCAGGTGCAACTGGGGAGTGAGACAGACTATGCAACCCAGGGCTCCAGCGAGGGTAAATAAAGCCTCAAAACACTGATTGAAAACACCTGTGGGGGTTGAGGTGCTGGGAGAGACTCCCAGCCTCACAGGAGAGTTTGTTAGAGAGACCCACAGGGTCCTAGAATGGGCACAAGCCCACCCACACGGGAATCAGCATCAGAAGAGCCCAGTTTGTTTGGGGGGAGCAGTGGAAGGGACTGAAATCCAGCAGAGAGTGGAGTAAGCGCCATTGTTCCCTCCTGGACCCCTCCCCCACAAATAGCATCAAAACGCAGCCATGTGGGTTGCCCCACCCTGGTGAACACCTAAGGCTCCATCCCTTACTATGTAACAGGTGCTTCAAGACAAAAAAATGGCCCAAATGAAGGAATAGATCAAAGCTCCAGAACAAATACAACTAAGTGACGAAGAGATAGCCAGCCTATCAGATGCACAGTTCAAAGCACTGGTGATCAGGATGCTCACAGAATTGGTTGAATTTGGTTTCAAATTAGATGAAAAAATGAATGCTACACTAAGAGAAATGAAGGAAAATGCACAGGGAACCAATAGTGATAGGAAGGAAACTGGACTCAAAATCAATGGAGTGGACCAGAAGGAAGAAAGAAACAACCAAACAGAAAAGAAGGAAGAAACAAGAATTCAAAAAAATGAGGAGAGGCTTAGGAACCTCCAGGACACCTTTAAACATTCCAACATTCTGAATTATAGGGGTACCAGAAGGGGAAGAGGAAGAGCAATAAGTGGAAAACTTATTTGAACAAATAATAAAGCATAACTTCCCCAATCTGACAAAGGAAATAGACTTCCAGGAAGTCCAGGAAGCTCAGAGAGTCCCAAAGAAGTTGGACCCAAGGAGGAATACACCAAGGCACACCATAATTACATTAGCCAAGATGAAAGGAGAGAAGGAGAGAATTCTAGAAGCAGCAAGATATAAGGAGGCAGTTGCCTTCAAAGGAGTTCCCATCAGACTGTCAGCTGATTTCTCAAAAGAGACCTTGCGGGCAAGAAGGGCCTGGAAAGAAGTATCCCAAGTCATGAAAAGCAAGGACCTACATCCAAGATTGCTCTATCCAGCAAAGCTTTCATTTAGAATGGAAGGGCAGGTGAAGTGCTTCCCGGATAAGGTCAAGTTAAAGGAGTTCATCATCACCAAGCCCTTATTATATGAAATGTTAAAGGGACTTATCTAAGAAAAAGAAGATCAAAACCTATGAACAGTAAAATGACAACAAACTCACAATTATTAACAACCACACCTAAAACAACAACAAAAACAAACTAAGCAAACAACTAGAACAGAACAGAACCACAGAAATGGAGATCACATGGAGGGTTAGCAACAGGGGAGTGGGAGGAGGAGAGAGGGGGAAAAGGTATAGAGAATAAGTAGCATAGATGGGAGGTAGAAAATAGACAGGGGGAGGGCAAGAATAGTATGGGAAATGTAGAAGCTAAAGAACTTATAAGTATGACACATGGACATGAACTAAAGTGGGGGATATGGGTGGGAGAGGGTGTACAGGGTGGAGGGGAGTGAAGGGGGAAAATGGGACAACTGTAATAGCATAATCAATAAAATATATTAAAAAATAATCATTGGATGCACAAACACCCCATATTCACATGTCTTCAAAGAGCATTTCTAAGTGCTGAGAGGTTTACACTTCTCATGAGAGACATTTTTATTTGTTGAGAATGTCTCCCTGATTTATTCCTTATAAATATCTATTGAATAACTGAAAGAAGCTGCTTATCATGAAGTCACATGTGAGACCTGACCTATCTCCCAAATGCCAGACATTTTTATTTGTTGAGAATGTCTCCCTGATTTATTCCTTATAAATATCTATTGAATAACTGAAAGAAGCTGCTTATCATGAAGTCACATGTGAGAAATGCCCTATCTCCCTATCTCCCAAACTGGGTCTCCCAAGACCTGGGTTGCCAGTGACATCTCATGTGTCCCCTGTCCCATGGTGAACTCTTTGACTCAGAACCTGCTCCTCCTCCCGTGGCCTCATGTGGGTAAAGGCACATCCACCTGCTGCCTGAAGTAGACACCAGGCGTCACCAGCATTTCTCCACCTCCTGCCCCTTCACAGCAATCAGGCCCCAACATCCACTGTGTTCACAGCCTTAACATCTCGTGAATCCTTCCACAGTCTCCTCACTGGTCTCTTAGTCTCCTGCACCCTCCACATTGCTGCAAATCTGACTGATCCACTCCTTGCCTAACCCTTCAGCGGCTTCCCTCACCTTCCATGGTCATTTTGAAATTCCTGGTATACTTTTTTGACTTTTAATTCCAGAATACTCCATGCTTATTGTAGACAAAGTTAGCAGCACAGAAGCATGCAATGTAAATGTTGAGCACTTCCTGCCTCAGCGCATGCCCTGCCTTCTGCCTTCTTCTCCAGAATGTTGCGTTTTGGTGTGCCTCCCTCCAGGCCTTCGACTCTGCAGATGCAACTCTGCATGTGCACATGCGTCAGACACAGCTCCTCATACTGTGCATCTTATTTGCACCATGATTTTTACATTTTCCCCTAATAGTACATCATGGGAAACTTTCTGTGTCAATGGATATAGCATCAGAGCTCTCTTTTTGTTGATTTTGAAGTATGGAAGGTCTTCCAATTATGGTAAGCCTGTTCAAGACTAATAAAAAGGGAATCTAAGAAATGAGATACTGCCTGATGCTGATCATTTTGCCCTGTAAGAAATGCTTTACTGAAAAGAAGAAAATTAGCATGGGTGGAGCCGCAGTGGCCATCGAGTCAGCAGGTCCTGCAGTGTCACCTTACAGTGCAATTAAATCTTGGTTTTTGGGTCCCAGCTAATGACATATTGATTTTGCTTTTGCAGAATAACTCAACAAAAATTGTTTGGACCCTTCATTAGTGTTTATTTATGGTGGTGAAATTCTGTCTGTAGTTTTCAGAGCTGCGGAGGCTCCCAGGATGGTGGGTCCACGTGTCGGGGCATTAGAACAGCTTGCTGCTATAATTTGTTTCATCTAGTGGCTCCACACCATCTGCACGATCAACTGCTTATTGTCTCTCATTTGTGCTCATTCATGTTATCCAATGAAATAAGAAAGCAGGAGCATTCT